TTTTGGTATTTCCAATTTGTAATTTTCATGCTGGGTTGTACCTTTTGTTAAGAAACGGAAATTTTGTCGTTTTGCAATTGATTTTAGTCCTTTCTTCTCGCTTTCCTTCGCTACCTTCTCTACGAGTTCTTGTAGTTTCCCTTTTATGTGTCTGCTATCAACAGATGTGTCATCTGCATAGCCTATGTTGTTAAGATTGTCGATGCCAATAATAAATCCTGGTAGAACATGTAATTCTCTCGGAATCGCGTTACAGAATAATCCTGTGTTAAGTTTTCTTACATTTGTTTATAATAACGATTAATCATCGTCTCTGAAATAAATGAAAATTTGTAATTGTAAAAACGCTTGATTCCATTGGTGAAGATGAATTAAAAAGAATAAAAACTTGTAATTCCAACGGATAATTTATTGTTAAAAACAGATATATGTCGGAAAGCATTTGCAATCCTTGTTCACTCTTGAGAAATAAATGAAACAGTGACTTAGCGAAATTGTATACGTTATAAATTCAAATTAACTGGAAAAAATTCGATCGAATTGAGTTCACGAGACATGCGTAGGCGGAAAGAATTGCTTAAAGAAAGAAAGAAATGCCATTTCCAAATCAGAGTAAAAAAAAAAATACTCCTTCTAGTTCTCTCGTATTTTCCGTTGAAGTAGGAAAGTCCATGCTGGGAGAAGCTGTGCTGCATCAATTCTATTACAGACATTTTCGGTACTTGCTATTATCATTTGTTCAGATAACCGTCTTTGGTTGAATTTGTGTTGGTTGGTCAATTTTATTTCAGGTTGGTCGAAGTCTTTTTCGTGACCTCCTTTGATGGCGTCAAGTGCAATTGCTGATGTCCTCTCTAGGTTTTTTTCAGTCGGTTTCATTTTTCTTACCTTAGTACAAAGACGCCGATGTTCGTCTATTCTTTCTTTTAGTGATCTGGAGGTTGTGCCAATATCATTTGCTGGATAATCTTTGCAATTGACTTAATAAATTAAATTACCATTACTAGTCATTGGCTGTTCGTTTTGTTTTTGTTTTTTTATCTTATGAGCTGTCGTTCAATCTTGTTTAGTGACGAGAACACCACTCTTATATCAAGAAGGTTCAAACTTCACTTTCAAAAGGGGAAACTAAAAGTGAAATTAAAATTTACACTTTTGACAGGAGGTATTAAGCTTATATAAGTTGACATAGAGGGTGGTGAGGGATGGTATGAGAGACATGGTCGAGTTTAGAGAGGGAATGGAGAGTTTTAAAATTTATTTTTATATTTCTTTTTATAATACTTAATATTGACGAAGGACGAGGTAATGATCAGACATTAACCTATTTAATTGGTCAACTCAAAGGAAATGATAGGGAAAAGGAAAAGGAGAAAAAAGGGAAAAAGAAAAAGGGGGAAGTAAAGAGAAAAGAGATGTTCTTAGGGTTTTTGGAAGAAGAAGAGGGGTGGTATAGCTTTAGCAATTTAGATAAAAACAGATTTTAACGTTTGATAGTAATTTAACTATTTAAAAACTCGACAAAGAAAATAAATTTGATGCTTGTTAGCAATTTAAATATTCAACTTCTCCACAATTAAATTAGGGATTTAATATAAGTTGTATACTATATTAATAAACAACAATAATTTAAAAAAAATAAAAATTTACTAATAATAATATTTTAATATTGTGAATGACTGTTAAGGTAAAATCTTTATCAATTAGAGTCTAATTCATGAATTTAATTTGTAGCTATTTTTAGATGGGTAATATTTCTTAATTAAAATTTAGGTTTCAAATCAAGATGGAGTAAGATTTGAAGGTAATAGTAAAAAAAATTAACTGTTTTTCCATACATACACCACATACATATTTACGTAAAAAACACATACACATACATTCATGTACCTTTTCAATTACACATATAACCACATACACATGTATCGATATACACCGGTATATATGCATATACATATAAAAATACTTACATATACATTTACATATCTCCACACACATCCATATTTATACATATTTAAATTTTTACTTAAATTTTACAGTTAAAGTTAGGTGGTGAATTAAGTGTTTAAATTTCAAAAAATATTTTTAATTTTAATATTTTAAATATCATGACTAATGGTTAAGGGGTAACATATTTTAATTTAAACCTAAGTGATTAATTTAAATTGAGATTATTTCCAGATGAGTAAAATTTCAAATCTTAACAAGTCTAATTAGAAATTATTTAAAGAGAAAATAAGAACAAAAGTAATAAAAATATTTTCTGTCCTTCCATTAGAACTCAATAATATATATATATATATATATATATATATATATATATATATATATATATATATATAAAAAGAAAAACCTACATCCATGTATACATATATATGCATACAACTATATCCACACATATATTCACACATATCACATATATAAATTCGAAGATGCATACATATATATACATATATAGACATATATGCAACCCCATATACATGAATCGATACATATACACATATACCTATCTAAATTTACGAATACACATATTTACACACATACAATATATATATATATATATATATATATATATATATATACATGTATATATATATATATATATATATATATATATATATATATATATATATATGTGTATATATATATATACATATATATACATATACACATAAATACACATATGTACTCAAATCTAAAAATAAGCCAATATTTACCATTGTATATAGTTTGTTTTTTATGTAGTGAGTTAAATTGAGATGATTTCTATGTCTGCATTTAAATATCATCTCGTTATGTTGGTTTAGTAATTTATCAGGATCTTTATGCTTTATCATCAGGATCTTCTCTTTAATACACAGGTCACATCGGTCTCTGAAATTTATTGGAGTTCGAGCCCTAGAGATGATACTCCATTTCACTTGTGGGGTGAAGTCGTTTTCCAACAAATCCCAATAGTGCATCGATAGTGCTTTTTGGTGTCTTTTGGATTCATTTGTGAAGGACTGGCGATAGTTATAAAAGCGCTGTTTTCAATTTCCCGCAGATATTCCTATATATATCTATTTTTTTTTTTTTTTTTTTTGCCTTTTCCTTGGGGAAATTGTAGCTTCGTATATGACGTTTTCTGCCATGCATATTCCTCCTACTGGACAATCAGATCCTGCTCTGCAATTACAGGTAGATGTTTCTTTTTTCAATTGGTTTGCATTAAAATCCCTTTTGTAATTGCTTATTGTGAAATTCCCTAATAATTTTGCTATTGTGAGAGCTTATAATTTTTCTACATTGCTCATGCAGAAATAACTAATTTTTAGATTCATTTTATTAAAGAATTTTTTTTAATAGCTCACCTTTACTGGAATGCTTATCTATTAGCTTTAGGAAGTATTTCCCTATATTGATATTAGATAGTTTACAGAAAGGCGGGTTGAACCATATAATCTTCCTTTTCCTATTTTTGGACTTAGTGGCTGTGTTATTAATTGGTTTATCTATATAATTTAATGTTTGGTTAAATTTACTTTTTAATAGGGCTTGATTATATGTTGATTTGTTTTGATTAAAAATTGTTTGTTTATTCTTGTATTTACAGTATTTGGAATTTGGTTTATAATTTCTTTCGGGTGATTTGAGTTGATATTTATGTATATGGGTGATTGGTTTTCCTTTTGGGAGGGTTTGTAGGTGTTATTGTAGAGATTAAATGTAAAGTCTAGAAAATTTACGATTTTTAGGTTGGAAGATATTTCGATTTTAAATCCTAGAAATTTGAAGGCTTTAATTATTTTCTTCTGTATTTGGGATGTTAGAGGACCATTGGTCTTAGGTATAACAATAAGTCCATCATCTCTGTACAGGCCTACGTTTTGGGGGTCTAGGAATCTGCTTAGAATGTCTAAAATATATATACCTATTAAATCTGCTATTTGGACTGTATCATATGCTCCCGAGGGGACATTGAAATTATCTCAGTTTTCTTTAATCCAAGTAGTGTCATAAAGCTTTAGTATAGACTGTCTAGAAGCCATTATGATTTTTATTTCTTCGTCAGTAATTTTAGTATAATTTTTAGCAAAACTTAAGCTATTTTCTAATAATTTTTTTTAGAAATGGAGGGGTAGAAGTTGATAATATCAAATTGAATAAAAGAGGCTTTAGTTTTAGATTTTATATATATATATATACTCGCTCAACGCATCTAGCACCTCATAGACTCCATGACACGTCGTATTGCCATGTTATTCATGCGAAGGGAGAATCTATATGTTATTAGGTAACTGTCTTTAATTTTATTGGCGCTTCAGTTTATAATGCGTAAGTATTTTAAATATAATCATATAGATGAATAGATATATATTGTGTGAGAAAGAGATGTATAAGAAAGTCGAACGAGGGTGAAAGACAATGAGAAAGAGAGAGAGAGAGAGAAAGCGAAATCCGAGGGTAGATATAGAGAGAAAGGAAGAGAATAGGAGGAAGGGGGAAAAGACAGTAAGGCAAGTCAAGCGACAAAGGAGGAGAAAAATAATGATGTACGGTTCTCTCGATCCGAACGGTCATTCTTATGAATTCCAGTATCCGAAATCAGAGACAATTCCAAATAAAATCCATCAACAAGTTCCTATTACCAACCACCACCACCGACAACAACAACAACAACAACAACAGCAACAGCAACAACAATCGATCCACCCGTAGTCCAGCCCACACCAGAACCCCTGCGCATGATTGTTCACCATGTTCCGAAAATCCCGTCTAGCGGAAGTTGGATGTCGGTTAGGTGGGGGCAGTAACTGTATGGACGGATTACCGTGATTGATATGCAACTGCCTTATACGCTGATAGATCTCGAATGAACAAAACGCGCAACTATGATGAGTTTTCTCCCAAGACAATATAAGGATTATACTGATGACCATAGGGTAGAATTCTATTATTTTCTTTATCAGTGCCATTATTATTATTATTATTATTTCTTTACTCAAAAAGTGTCCGATATGCATTACTGTGGACCAAATGTCAGCAAGTCTTCACAAATCATTATTCTTTCTATCAATATCGGTGTCTCAGGCGACATGTTATTGTCTATCATACAATGATTCGCGTATTGTGACAATATACGTATTAGAGACAATGACAACTAACTGGCATCACATTGTTTTCCGTAATCTTTCGGCCGCTGTACGCTCCATTTTCAACAGTGGCCTTAAACATTCTCTAAATAGCTTAGAAATATTCGAGGAGGAAATATTCGATGTTCTGGAGAGTCGAGTTCGAATTCCAGTCGGGTCCATAATATGCACTTACGCACAATTACCCTTAGAAAAACGTATGAATCCATCCCCCTCCAACCACTTATGGGTTGTCTAGCAGCACAAACTGGGTTCTATAGCCTTGGTTTGCAACCAGTCTACCACAGCAAGAAATGGCAATCTACTGCGGGAAAATCTTCTACTTTGTCAGTCGTGAATCAAAAGAGACATGATCGTCCAGTCGTGTATCACGTATGACACTTAACTGACTGATTGAACAAGAAATGGCACTGCCGATTGGAGAAGAGCTCAAAAGTTCATCTGATTCCTTGAAAACGGTGAGTTCAGTCTTTGGGTTATATAGTACCGAATTATATACCTTTATTTTCTGAGTTTCCCTAACAAAGAAGCTGACTGTGTCATGTAATGATAACAGCCGTAATGATAATTAGCCGTTTCCTAATAAGGACAAATTCGTCATTCAATGATCGAACAGCCAGTGCTATTTATATATATATATATATATATATATATATATATATATATATATAATTATTTATTTAAAATATGATTCCAACTCGCTACATAAGAGTTCTCACGTTTCAAAACAAGAGCCGAAAACTTCAATATAATTATTTAAATTAAATTGAATTAAAGTACTAAGCTCTGTTCCATCTTCAAGCGAAATTTTTTTTTTTTGATTTCTTCGTATGTAAATTATATGCTGCCTAATGTTTTATGTTTATAAAAAACTATCGATCCGCAGTACATAAAAAAATTCCTATAAAAAAAAACTACTACTAAGACATTACACTATATTATTGAACTATATACTTAGTTCATGACATAAAAACTGAATACACTTGTAAAAATAGACTACGTGGATTTAACACATCACAAGAAATATTTAAATAAAATTCTCACTTAAAATTTTGAAAAACTTAGCGTTGCGTCTTTGCACGTTCCGAGATCTTACACAACCGTCAATAATAGCAGATGTTCAAAAAACATCTTTTGGTCGACATACAGGTATATCGTCTTCAAGTTTTTGATTTTATAAGGAAAAAAACACATGCCTGATGATGAATAGAAGACTATTCGTAAGTACTAGCATTTTAACATCAAATAAACTGAAATCTACAGACAACAAGTTTATCGATGAGGATCAACTCGCACTATGGATGAACAGTATTTTAATGCATATATTATGTTTTCTAGCGATGGATGTCGCCAATAATCGCATTAATACTTCTGATTGATTCTATGTGTGATTATTTCTTCGTATATATATATATATATATATATATATATATATATATATATATGAATAAAAATGACAATAGGAAAACTAGTAAATGCTGGCGTGTTTCGTCCAATGCGGACTTTATCAAAGCAAAATACGAAATGAATATAATATAACAATGTAACTAAGAAAAACAAAAACAAAATGTTATTAGCAACTGGAGTGTGGAGAAGCGCTATTTTCATATTGTTAACTGAAAATAACGTCAGTATATGTCACGTGTGGAGAATATTGTCATTGTATCTGTGTTGATGTATTCAACCATTTTCTTTAATAATATGAAAATAGCGTTTCTCCACACTCCAGTTGCTAATAACCTTCTGTTTTTGTTTTTGTTAGTATATTTTTATATTATATTCATTTCGTATTTTGCTTTGATAAAGTCCGCATTGGACGAAACGCGTCAGCATTTACTAGTTTTCCTATTGTCATTTTTATTCATAAATTTTGTCTTCTCTACTAGTTAAATATATATATATAGCACTGCCCATCAACAAAAGTTAGTTGTGTATCAGTATAAATGTCGATGTGAGATCGACTATGTGAGCAAAATTATTCAGAGGTTAGTGGTTGAGATCGCCCAGCATGTCCCGGGCCACACAAGCCTGTGACATCCGGGTGTTCACAGGCTCATGACTCCGCTATCGGCGAGTATTTATTGAATTCTGTTGCTTGCAGGACGAACTGTTCTCCTGAGATTTTTTCTGTCTCGCACAGGGAACGGATCAGACTCCACTTAGACATATTAGAGTTTGTTATTGTTAATATACAACGTCCTGGTCTGTATAGGCAGAGAGAGGTAAAGCATAAGTTGGTCTTATTCGGGGAGCCAGTCGTTAATTCTATGCCTAACTAGGAAGATTTTTCCCTCCCCAAATCTTGGTTTGGTAATTTATATTTCTTTAATATCAGTCGTTGATGATATTTTTTCTTGTCAACCGTTTGGTTTTATTTTGCAGATGATTATATTTATTCTGAAAAAGTGTCGGTCAAAAGGTACCAGAAATTTTAATCGCTGTGATGCCTTTGTATCCTGTTTTATTAGTAAAATATGATCCCTTTTCTAAAAATCATTTATATATATATATATATATATATATATATCTACCCTTGAGCGCTTAGCCTTGGAGCGGGTAGAATGGAGATCAACGTGTTTTAGTGGACTCAGCAAATTTCAATCTGCTTGTTTGAATCATCTTCAAGAAGCGAGAGCAAGATCTAAAAGATCAGTCAATCTAACAGTGATTTCATTTCACAATCCTCGCACTTGCTCCATATGTGGCCTCCTTTGTAAATCACTAGCGGGTCTTAAATGCCACTTAAGATTATCGCACACAATTTAATAACTGAATCAATTAAGCTGTCAGATCCTCATACGTCAAAACCGACGGGAGAGTCCATTATTATTATTATTATTATTAATAATAATAATTCAAATAACCAGGTCGGCAATGACTGGCCACTACTATTTGCTTCATGAGCTTCGACACAATCATCAGGTAACCAATGACTTTTAATAAGGTGAATACCCTATATGTGAACGGGCGAGTTAAATTAGACAAGCAAACCAAACCCACGCTGGCTAAATGATGACTGTGTGAAAGCACATGAAACTAATAATAGTGGACAGTCATTGCCGACCTGGTTATTTGAATTAATATTCAAAAAGCTCTGCCATTTCTACGGGACATGGAACACTTTTATGCCAGAAGGCTGTTTGGGGCAGCCTCTATTCAGAACTGTTCGTTTAAACTCTGGATTTATATATATATATATATATATATATATATATATATATATATATATATATATATATATATTTGTGTGTGTGTGTGTGTGTGTGTGTGTGTGTGTAAAAAGAAAGAACAGTAAGATATATAATCCGGTGTTCTTATGGATATTTTTATTTTTACAAAGTAGTGCTCAATGTAAATTTACAGAGCATTAATATTATAAATTAATTGCTTTAAAATATGTTTTTTTTCGCTACACAGTTCTAACCATGTTTCAAAAATGGAAGCTGAAAGCTCCGAATTTACTTTTGTAATTAAATTAAAGACATTAGTTACATTTCATCCTCAAGCGAATTTTGGAGTCTGTATAGGCAGAGAGAGGTAAAGCATAAGACTCCAAAATTCGCTTGAGGATGAAATGGAACTAGTGTCTTTAATTTAATTACAAAAGTAAATTCGGAGCTTTCAGCCTCCATTTTAGAAACATGGTTAGAACTGTAAAAAAATTTTATTTTAAATCAATTAATTTATATATATATATATATATATATATATATATATATATATATATTGACAGCAACCTAAAACTTGGTGTGCACTGAAAGTCAGCTAATAAAAATAACCTAATGGTTCACATTATAACAACAGCATAAAATCCGGAGTCGTCGTTGGATTCTATTTGGGAGAACTCGGAGTATGCAACATTTGATATTTGCACGAGTTGGAGAAATACTTGGAAAATACTTTCAAGACTTTTCAATACTCTATTTCATATTCAATGTTCAAGGGACAGGGGGCTAATAAACTATTCCCAAATAGAGAAGTTGTCCTTTCCTGATAGACCCAACGAATCAGGAAAATATATCATTCTACCCACTGGCCATACAACCGAAAAGAATTTATCTAAACTCAACATGAGGTTTGTCACAACTACATCTAAAACAATAAAAGACTTGGTCAATGTAAAACAAAATAACGGACGAAGGCTTGCAGGAGGAATTCACTCTATCAACTGCAATGAATGCTAAAAAGTATATATTGGAGAAACCTCAAGAAGTTTAAACAAAAGACTATATGAACACAAAAGATAGATATCAAGTTGAGATCTGATATTATCTGGAAGGTCATTAATGAATATTAAGAACGAAGTAGGTTCAGTTATAGAGCCATGGGGGACGCTTGCATGTGTTTATTTTTTCCTTTCGCCTGGTTTCCTTTTTTTCTCTAGCTCTTTTTACTACTTCCTTTTCTCCTTCAGATTCTCTCTTTTCGACTACTCTCTAAATGTATATTTAGATATTTATTTTTTCCTTTCGCCAGGTTTCCTTTTTTTAGCTCTTTTTACTGCTTCCTTTTCTCCTTCAGATTCTCTCTTTTTGACTTCTCTCTATATGTATATGTGCATAATTTTCGATATGTATATATATATATATTTATTTTTCGTCTTACATGTTTTTTTTATGTTTATATCAGAACTACAGTGGGGTGCTGACATATTCTGAATAATGCGATGTTTTACTAACACGAGATGTGAAGAATCTATTCATTTGATCATTTAATAAGATCAGAGTCTTATTAAATGGCATTCTACTCCCTAATGAATAATCCCACAGAAAACTGATTTTTTTTTCACACAGTTATATGCAGTAAGGTCTCTGCAATATCCACGTACTCATTTCTATATTCTTGCCTATTTCAATAATGCTCCTTTCAAAGGAATTTCCAGTCTACCTACCTAATTTGACCTTTATTGCAATGGCTTTCAGGATCTTTCCAGATACCCTGAAGATGATAAATAAAAACGAATACAATGCTAAGCACTATGTACCATACATTTTGTTGTTGTTTCTTGTTGGGGTGGAAGGACCTGTTGGGTAGCGTAACTTATGGGCAAGGCAAGCGACATCGGAAACCCAAATTCAAAGTCTGTCCTATTGCATTGCGTTCACCTCACACTAATGCCCATTGTCACTGAATCTATCCCTTCTCTCTTTCACACTATGGGTGGAATAGCAGGATAGACTAGGTTATCTAGTCTAGAGTGACGGCCACTCCAAAAGAAGAACAACTCTGAATAATAATAATAATAAACTCTGGAGAAAATCACAGAAACGACTACATAATTTTTCCCAAAATATCGTGCCAATGTACAAATATCATAAAAAGGCAATCTATGCAGATCCATGATCGGCTATCTACTGAAATGTGAAGGCCTTTAAGAAAATCATGATCGTTAATATTTATCCGTCTTTAAGTTATATTTCTCTTACAATTTAGTTTTCTTTTCAAGGGTTAAATTCACAATTTGGAAAATTTATATGATTCATTACGTGAACATAAAACAATGTTCCTGCGTCACCCTCCCGAGGCCAATGTACGGATGATGCGAGTCCCAGACTATTTAATCACTACAAGCACAAACATAAAGAGATGGTTTCTGTATATTTAAGAATTTCATACTACATCCCAAACGAATCTACTAACTGAAAACAATTTTTCTTGCTTTCCCTCCCGTGACTAATATATTGATGTCGAGGAAAAGGCTATACTTGGTCGCTTGATTTTGTTTAGCAGCATATCAGCTTCCATGATTTATTTAATTCCGAAATCTAAATAATTCGAAAGCAATTGTATGCCTTCAACAACAGATAAAATTAGATACAACCACCAATTTTGATGCCTTGGTTTAAGATGAATTTTTATAAATTCAAAAGTATTCTTGAATCTTTTATTTTAGCTTTAATTGAAAACTAAAGGATTAAATTTACTATTTCCAGTAAGCAAAATACTCCGCCGTATTTTAAACAGAAATTATATTTAGTATTTACATTAGAAATTATATTCAGTATTACACCTTTGTCGCCATATTTGTCACATAGTTTCGGCCATTGTACGCTCCGGCCTTCTTCAGGTGGTTGGAATTTCGAACTGAACCCTTTATTTCGATCACTGGGGTTCCACGTGGCATGTTTGATGGATGTCAGTTATCAGCTATCTTAATTTCCCCCTGAAAGTTCTCCACTGCCTTAACCGGGTATTGAACTCACACTCTTTGGGTCTGTCACTGGATCTAACCCACGCCTTTATCCACTGTGCTATGTGTCCTTGAGGACATCTGGGTATTATAAACCTAATGTTTTCAGCAACAATTTTTTACCAGTACTCATATTGCAATTTTTGCTGTTATCATTCATGTTTTTACCAGAGCCCATATTGCAACTTTGTTATCATTGCTTTTCTCTGGCACTCCTTATTACTGGTTCCCATATTGTATTTATTTGTATGCTTGGTCGGCTCAGGAGATTTTTGTGGCCTAGCATATGTACTGATTCTTAAGTTTACGAAGGGAAAATTAGCAGGAGATAACTGATAACTGACATTTCAGAGGGAAAATTAGCAGGAGATAACTGATAACTGACATCCATCAAACACCGTGGAACTAGAATAGTCTACCCCAGTGAGCGAAATAAAAGGTTCAGTTCGAAATTCAACCACCTTAAGAAGGCCGGAGCGTACAACGGCCGAAACGTTGTGACAAAATGGCGACAAAGATGAGGACAATAGTCCGACTAATGTAAATACTGTAATACCTCATTTCAGAAATATAGACAGACTCAGAAATTATATTGGTTGGAATTGAATTTTTCCTCAAATAGCTGATTAGTGCTCTTTTTTAGCCGTCTTTCAACACAGTGTAATTCTCTGTATTAAAAAATCTTCCAAAAATAAAATATACTTTTTCGAAACTTTATTTAAGCAATATTAGTTGATTTAAAGTATAATTAATCTGATATGAAAGAAATATTATTTACTTTAAGTTTAAAATAACTGAAAAATAGATTTTTAAAAAAACAGTAGCTGTAAATACGTATTTGTCATCGCTCGTCAATGAGGTAAAAGGTGCAGATAAAGATATTGACAGTTTTCTTGTAGTTCTATGGAGACTTTATCTGTTAAAACATAATTTTAAAAAATGACAGGTGAGTCCCTTTTTTATATAATCTTTAAGTACTCAGTAATCTTAAAAATGTTGGAAAATATTCTCCGTAATCTAATTTTAGGAATGTTGACTTTAGATTAACTAGATCCATCGTTCTTATTTTCTGATAATGTCGTGTATAGTCGACCATACTTTCATAAATGGGCACGTTACATAACACTTCATATACATAAAAAAAATAAAAAAATGTTTATAAAATCTTGGTGCAAAATGATTTGTATTACGCTTTTCATTTTTTTATTAGTAAATATAGTTTTCACTTAACGATATTACCTAACCGGATGAAAGTAATGCAGAATTTTCAAAGATTTAATATTATCAATTATTATAATTAATTTTTTTTTTTTAAATGAAAACGATTCATCTAAAAATATTCATCGAAAAATCATTTTCATAAAACAATAGTATCCTTAATAAATCTTATAAAAGCAATTAAAAGCTTTTCTAATTAAATAATGTCATCGATTTTTTGTACATTTGTTTTAAGATTCACAGCAGATTGCTGAGAAATAAGTGGTAGTGCAGAAAAATTGATGATTTACATTCTTCAAGAAGTCCTGCTTTTAACTAATAAAAAAGAAATTTCGGATGAGAATGTAATTTTTCGAAATTCCATGAAATTACGTAAGTGGGGAGAGTAAGTAACATACGAAAATATATATATATATATATATATATTAACAAGATTTTCTTAAAAAAAGAATTTAAAAAATCATTCCATTCATCCCTATCTATAAAAGGCATGATGTGTGTGTGTGTGTGTGTGTGTGTGTGTGTGTGTGTGTGTGTGTGTGTGTGTGTGTGTGTGTGTGTGTGTGTATAACGATTGCACGGCCGCAATTTTCGACGGATTTACACCAAAATTTACATGCACATGCTCCAAGTTAGTGGGAAGGCCAAGACTGACTTTGCATTTCCAAACTCCCATCGATAGTGGAAATAATCGATTTTTTCATGCTTCTATGGCAGTTTTCATGTAGTTTGTGGCCATTTTCTACTGGTCAGAGTGAGAGCCTATAGCTGGCTGCCACGAATAGGCAGGAAGATTCTATTGGCCAGCGTGAGAACCAACAGCTGACTGACACGAATGTTAACTAGCATGCTAGCATGCAAAAAAATCGATATCTGCATTCGTCACAAGTGGGAAAAATTTAAATCTGCATGGCACTTTACTCCAATTGGCTCATTCGCTTGCTTAAACTCAACGTTGATTCTGATTCCGCAGAATTGGGTTGGGTGTGAAAAAGTATTTGTTGTTAACATTCTTTTTTCATTCTATTTTTCCAGTTACGAGTCCTTTTTTTAAAGCTAATCGTTTTGTGTTCATTTTGTTTAGTTCTTTTTTCGTAACAGATTTAATGTTTAGTATAGAGCTTAGAAAAATTTGCAGTGTGAGATAGGCAAGAAGTAAGGCATGTAGCAACATCAGCACGGCAAAGGGCACTCCTTTAATTGCTGTATGAGTCGTACGATTTTTTAATCAAGCACGGGTAACGCCGGGCCATGCTGCTAGTTTGTGAATAAGTTCTGAAAGTTTCATTAAAATTTCACATTTATTTGATTTTTACAAGAATCAATGTGTTTCCACCTGAAAAAAAGACTCTAAAACACCAATCATAAATATTACGTCGACTGCTAACGCAAAAAAAACAAGACTTTTAACCAAAATTTCGAACGTGCCAGGAAGGATTAAAAAAATTTATAAAATAATAAAAAATACTTTGGTCTTTTCTCATAATAATAGCATTAAAATTATGACGACAAATCTCTTTTTTTGTGATGTTTGGGGCCTTTATTTATCATACTATGCTGTTTTTTTATTCTACAAAATTGAAAGAATTATATAAAATTTAGCGTTCGTAACTTTATTATATATAGGTACCGTTGGTAATTTCACTACAATTAGTTATTGTTGCTCATTTTTATATAAAAAAAGTATTGCTGGTATTTTTACTATAAAAATCTATTTTTATACTTATATTGTTTTTTATCTTTGTCTGGGGCTACGATATTTGTCCATAGATGGGGTCCTAACAGATTCTACCACCCATAGTCAGAGTGGACTTTGGCATAACAGCAAATCAGAGGCGCTTCCACACTCCTTCTGATCATACGTCTTGCTGTCGGATTTAGTTTATCTTCATACCCAGGAATAGTGCTTATATTGATGATATAGATATTTATAGTTGGAATGAGAATATTGATGAATAAATAAATCAACATCCCCCCCTTGCAAGTGTTCTAAGAAATAAGAAGATAAAATTTTCCAAAATAGAAAATATGATATGGAATTGGAATGAAAGCAGTGATAGTAGTTACTTTGAATCTTACTTATTATAAAACGCAGATTGTGTGTGTGTGTGTGTGTGTGTGTGTGTGTGTGTGTGTGTGTGTGTGTGTGTGTGTGTAACTTTTATATATTGGATCGGATTTCCTACATTTTTCAACCAATTTCAACAAAACTTCACAGGACTATGTAAAATTACCTTGCGGTGGTTCTAACAGCGCCAAAAATTGGAAAACACAATTGTTTTTGCACAAAATCAATTTGAAAACACGATTAAGAGGCATTAATGAAAGGGGGACAACTCAGATCGAGTTAAAACCCAGGTTGTTTGTGTGTGTGTTCGTTTATATATGGGATCGGATTTCCTACATTTTTCAGCCGATTTCAACAAAACTTCACTTTTTTTTTGCAGGTAGTGTTTCTTATTGTCTTGCACATTTTTTTCTTTATTTTTACATTCAGAATGCATTAAAAATTCCATTTACAAGGCAATTGTTTATGATAAAATTCTATTCAATCGCTAGACTCATAACGATTGAAAACAATGTTTTTGTTTCAGTTTGGGTTTGACCAATTCATAAAAAAAAAAAAAACTAATTAAGACATACGTGTCCGTCAACTTTAAACAAATAATCTTTGTCAATTTTATTTTTCAGTCTTTATGATGGTCGATACTTGATCAATCTCTTACTGTTACATCCCCGGGCAACGCCGGGCTCTACTGCTAGTCTATCATGAAAATTCAGGGTGCGGATTTAATAAATACTAAAAAAAATTCAAATACTGTATGGATCAGTTGTAATAAATTTAGTATAGAAGATAAAGAAATTGAACATTGGATAGGCTGAACCAGGGATAGTTTCGCCCAGCACCGTAACTTACAACAAAATCAAAATGATAAATTTGTAACGGGAGACAACCTCTGTAGAATGATTTATTCTCCAATTTGTATTTCCCTCATTATGGACATTATCATGTCCGTGATATAACAACAACATACTTCAAGGACAGGACTGAATGACTCAAAAGAAAAGGAATGACAAACAAGCTTTGTTCTCAAAGAGACTTTAATATCACTAAGTGCTGAAACTTGACTAATGCATGGAATAATAATACAACACAAAATGTACTTAGAACAAAATGTATTGAAACAAGAAAGTGTACACAATATTTACATATAGTCTTTTGTATATTCCTGGTAAGACCGTTCCTGGAGAATGTGTTGACTGAGTCGCAGTCGGGTAGAGTCTCTGGGTTGAATCTCTTGATTCCTCCCCTCGTCTTCCCGGTACCAACCATATTTATATGGTCGGTACTCCACTATGCAAATAAGGTGGATCCTACCACAACACTAAGACATGCATAAAACTATATATACATATATACAAGTGTTCCACGGGGAGAATAATATATCACATATATCTACGCAGCAAAGCAGAGAGTAAGAAGAAACAAAAATGAAGGGTCTTACATATAATATGTGGATACTCCTGTGTCTGGAGAAGCCATGTTTAGGACTTCAGATTCAAAAGGGCCGGATTCATCTATGTCTCAGGCGAGGACATATTCCACAAAAGGGAAAAAGCGAGTCTTGGGTTTTCCCCAAATTGAGAACTTCGAACTAGTGTTCCTTTCTATATCTGGGAAATATATATTCCCAAATAGAAACGGCACCATGAACTTGTAAGCTGCTGGAGAGTCAGATTTACCTTCTTTCGGATCAGGGGCTGGGTAAAGAAAGCAAACTTTCGGTTTCGCTGCTGTAAAACGAACTGAATGTGACTGCCACTGTCCTCACTGTATCGAGTGTCGTCACTAAGCGGTCCTTGAAGGAGAAATAAGCGCCTTCTGTATCCCTACAACCTGAAAGCGCGTCATATTCTTAGACAGCCTCGTTAAATGGAGACTTTCATATAGATCTCATGCATGTTCTAGTTCAGAAATATCTAAAGTGTCAGCTGTATACAACCGATTTCTCAGATCAATGACTACATCTTAGCGATGTCCATCCTTCTTCGATCCTTGTGAACTGGCGTTACAGAAATACAAAGAACTGCGCCAAATAACAGAAACCACGATGTCAGCAATTAAAACATTCAACACTACTTCAAACGAATGGTTAGGAAGGAATTTCGCATCAGTACTAGAAAGAGAGATAACAGTTACTGGATTTGAGAAACATATATTACTGAAAAAAAATTTAAGTGAAAAATTTTATCAGAAAAGTAGCACTGGCTGCTTGGTCAGTGAATGTCGAATGTTTCCTTATAAGGAAACGACTAATATTATCTTTTCCAGTACCATGTTACATTTTTTTCTGGAAATCTGATCTACCAGACAACCTCAAGTGGAAATTCTTTTAAGCCACTGTAGAGGTGGTATTAATGTATATTGGCAAGCAAAACAAAAACTTGCAAGTGATCTACTGTTCTGGACGCTTAGCAATGGAGCAAGATGAGTTCTACATTGACCAGATATGTTATGACCTTCAGATGCTGGAACCTGATGATTGGAGTAATAAACTGATGAATGTCTGTGCTAACTCAACCGAATAATAGTAATAATGTAATATTTTTACAACGTCACAGAACTTTATTTGTCATGCAGTTTTTAACATTCTTTTCGTATTTTCGTATATCAAACAGCATTTCATGGGTAGTAATATATTATTTATTTCTTTTAAGTTTTCTTCTCTTTAGCATTTTCTTCCTTCGATTTTCGTTAAATTTCTCATTTTTTTTCGGAATTCTCCATAATTCTTCGTTTTTCTTCATAATTTCTTCGGCCTCTTTTTTTCACAGTTGTTCTCAATTTTACTTTTCCTTCCGAATTCTTTTCCTGTACTTCTTCCCATTTAATCTTAATTTTCTTCCATTTTTTTTTCTTCATAATCCCTACACTTTTTCTTCTTATTTTTCACGTTTCTTCTCCAAATATTTCTTTTCTCTACAATAGTTTTTCACGATTCCTTTTCCCAATTCTATTTCTGATTGACAACTTTTTTTTTTTTGCACAGTTCGTTCAGAAATATTTTCTTCATTTGTACAATGTTTATAATTGATTTGTTACCTCTAAAGTTTCTTCGATTTATTTATATAACAAAAAGAAAAAAAAACTAACGAAGAAAACCAGAAAAAAAACGTAGAGAATTTAAAAAAAATTCTCTACGTTTTTTTTCTGGTTTTCTTCGTTAGTTTTTTTTTCTTTTTGTTTTTCCCCTTTGGTCTTCTTCTTCTACTTCTGCCTTTTTCCATTTTACTTATTTGAATTATTTCTTTACTCTATTTTTGGTTTTATTTTTTTTATTATTCTTTCTCTACTCCATTTTTCACTCTTTCTTTTCTTTTCTTCTTTTCCAGTTTTTCATTCTACTACTTTTCAGGTATTTTCATTTCTTCTTCTTCTTCTTCTTCTTCTTCTTCTTCTTCTTCTTCTTCTTCTTCCCATTATACTTTTAATACTAACTCTTTTTCGTCTCTTATTTTCATCAACTTTTTTCTTCATCTTTTTATTATTATTATTGTTTTCTTCTTCTTACTTTACCTCTTCTTACTTTACCTCTTCTTCTTTCTTTCTTTCTTCTTTCTCTCATTCTTCTTCCTTTTAATTCTTTCTCTTACTTCCTCTATACTTCTACTAAGTCTTTTTCTCCTCTCTTTATTTTCTCCAACTTTTTAATATTCTTCATAATTATTATTATTATTATTATTATTATTATTAGTGTTCTCCTCCTCTTATTTCTTCTTCTTCTTCATCGTCTTCTTCTCCTTTATTTCTCCCTTCTTCTCTTCTTTCTCTCTTTCTTATCATCGTCATCTGCTTTTTCCTTCTTTTTTCTTCTTCCCTCTCCGTTTTCGCTAACCATCATTCCCGTTGTTGTTTCTCTGTTGTTCGGCAATATTCATCCTCAGCCACCCCAATCACCCGATTGCCCACACCGGTGCCGTCCACTCATGGCTCAATTTCCCCGTGGACTGCAGGTGCTTTGCATATGCATATGCACGGTCAGTGCTCTGCTCTACCATCTCCCACTGCACGTCATCGAGTTGACGGCTGCAACAATATGGCGCACTTTGTTCAAGACCGGGGGCGTGACCGAGTCACCACTGCGTGCTGCACCTCCGACCTCTCTTGTTTGAATATTTGTTTGAGTGAATGAAGAGAACAGCACTGGCGACTGCGGCCAGATACGAGTACATACATACATACATACATACATACTGATTCAAAAAGACAGAGATTTCATCTGAACTGATTAAAGATATATATATATATATATATATATATATATATATATATATATATATATATATATATATTATAGTAAATAGAAAGAACAGTAAGATATAAAATCCGGTGTTCTTAAATGATATTTTATTTTTACAAAACAGTGCTCAATGTAAATTTACAGAGCATGAATATTATAAATTAACTGATTTAAAATGTTTTTTTCTTCACTACACAGGAATTACCATGTTTCATTGAATTTCTGTTTCATCTTCAAGCGAATTTTGAAACAAAATTAAATGAAACATGGAATTCCTTATTTTAAAACTTATTTTAAATCAGTTAATTTATTATATATATATACAGAGAGAGAGAGAGAGAGAGAGAGAAAGAGAAAGAGAAAGAATAATGGTAATGCTAATATTAGCCGTTTCCCTATGAAGAAACATCTGCCATTCATTGACCAAGCAGCCAGTACTGTTTTAGGTTGAAATTTATAAAGTCTTTTCTCTTTGTGTCTAGTACTTAGTTGAGTTCAGTCACTCTTTGAGTAACTCCAGCGTCAGATTACCACATTATTTTCTCAGATGATCGCTAAATACGGCATTTGCTGTTTTGGTATTTGCCCAATACTTGCCCACAAGACGGGATGTGGCACAAGGCCGATTATTTTACGTGGCACGAGCAAAAATTTCTCGTAGACCCTGTATATACGGGGTCTGGTCGCGGTCTAACACTGCAGACAAGACTCTGCCCTTCGGTATAGCCTCGTCTGGATACCTCTCTGCCCGGAGGTAGAAAGGTCGGCAAGTAGAGTATTAGAAAACACTTTTCTGTTTTCCAACTCCAGTGTTTCGTTTTCATATTTATATACGTGTGGGCGAGTCCAACTCAAGTGCAGTATCTGCTATCTCTCTTTCTAGTATGGATGGGCGTTTCTTTCCTAACCTTCCATTTGAAATAGCGTGGAATGTCAACCTCTTGTCATTATTTTCTCTTCGAGTTATATGTGCTGTCCATTTTAGATGTTGCCGCTGTTGGTAGTCCACAAGTGATGTGGTTTCTGTTTTTGTTTGCCATTTTGCAGCACCACTCCACAATGTTCAAAACATGAAGATGTTTATTTAGAACCCCCGGATTTGCTTGCCTTTTTTCACCATCGACCTTAAGAAACAGTTGTATACGGCTGTCAGTTTACATATTTTTAGCGGGGGGTTGCGGCCATGCATGACATCTATATGAAAGTCTCGATCTGTCGAGAGCTATTTAAGAACATGATTCATGTTTTCAGGTTGATGTTTTGGTTTCGTAGCAATTTCCACTGTTGGGCGAATCTACCACTTGCACAGACAATGCTATTTCCAATTTCTTTTTCTTCTATACTTCATTGATAGATAGATAGATAGATAGATAGATAGATAGATAGATAGATAGATAGATAGATATTAACAAAATGAGATAGATAGATAGATAGATATATAGATAGATAGATAGATAGATAGATAGATAGATAGATAGATAGATAGATATCAACAGAATGAGATAGATATTAACAGAATGAAATAGATAGATACAGATAGATATGAAGAAACTGCGATAGATAGATAAATAGATATTAACAGAATGAGATAGATAGATATTAACAGAATTAAATAGATATGAAGAAACTGCGATAGATAGATAGATAGATAGATAGATAGATATTAACAGAATGAGATAAATATTAACAGAATGAGATAGATAGATAGATAGATAGATAGATAGATAGATAGATAGATAGATATTAACAGAATGAGATAGATAGATAGATAGATAGATAGATAGATAGATAGATAGATAGATAATGGACAAAAGAATTAAAGGTAGATAAAACAATTATTCACTGGAAATGTATGCTCGGATTCTTAACAAATCGAGTGATCTGTCTATATTTCTGAGATGAGGTACTATAATTATTTACATTGTCCAGACTGTTGTCCTCATCTTCGTTGCCATATTTACGACGTTTCGGCCGTTGTACGCTGTAAAACACATGGCCCAGTGGATTGAATCCAGTGACTTGGACCAAAGAGTTTGGAGTTCAATACAGTTGAGGTGAACAAAATTACATGGAGAGTTGAGTTAAAGGGAGATAATTGATCCTGATACATTCGGAAGATGCATGGCGTGTGGTACCAGAACAATCTACCCCAATGGACGAAATAAAGAGTTCAGTTCGACATTCCAAACACCTGAAGCAGGCCGGAGCGTAAAACGGCAATGAAAATGAAGACAAAGGTCGGAACAATGCATATAGTGTAAATAAATCGAATGATGCAGAGAATAAACAAGGTAGATGGAGGGATGGGGAAGGAGTGAGAGAGGGAGAGAGAGAGGAGGGAGGGAGAGAGAAGAGGGAGGGAAGGAGAGAGAGTGAGAGGGAGGGGGAGAGAGTGAGAGGGAGGGAGAGAGAGAGAGAGATGGAAACGGATTAACTAATGCGCGTATATATTTTCGAATGCGTACGCGCACTTTCGGTTTGCCAAGACAATGCATTATACATGAAATTCCAGAACTTTTCGGGAATGATCAAGGAGTCCACAAATTCACGCGCCATCCGTAAAAAAAAAAACAGCAATGCGTTGACCCGCATTTCGTTCAGATCGATTCATCAAAGGCTCTTAGCTAGAAAACTACGTGTTGCGATTAGAAAAGAATTCTTAAGAAAAAAAAAAAAACACTAAAAAGAAAACGCTGGGTGACGCCAGTAACTTTTTTTTTTTACAGTAAGGTTCATCTTTTACAAACCCGGGAGCCACTCAAGAGAGGGTTAACACTAGCCTTGAACAAATTAAGATTGTAATGATCGGGGAAACAGACTCTTGAAAGCCGGTTCCACAGGGCAGTGGTTGTCGGGAAGAAGCTGTTCGCGTGGAACTTCTCACCGAGGGAATGTGGGTGGTTTCCTGATATGTAAGTGGCACGGGGGTGTCCTTGCCGTTAAGGTTTCAATTGACGGACCAGCAATTGTTCGTCCGAGCACTATCGGTGGAAGTAGCGATAGTGAAGCGAGAGGCTTGCCGCATCCCACCCGTGAGAGATAGGTCGAAGGGTGAAGAATAATTCGTCATATCTATCTATCTATCTATCTATCTATATATATATATATATATATATATATATATATATATATATATATATATATATATATATATATATGTATGTATATTTGAGAAATCTTACTAGAAAATTTTTGAAAAAGGAAGTGACGTTTCACCTGCTGCTTGCTTACAAACAGAATTGTTCATAACCATTTTGGTTCCCACCAGTCGAAGTGCAATTTTAAAGGCACTGAAACGAAGTTGCATCTTTGTAGTGAGTAAACTGTATTTTGTCTATATGAAAAAATTATAATATATATATATATATATATATATATATATATATATATATATATATATATAGTGCTGTTCGATAAAAGTGACTCACTGATTTTTTTTACTAAATTCTTTTCCGATGAAACGAAAGTTGAGCTAAATTTAAAGGATAAGCGATCTTCTTTCTCAACTACTTTCACGAGGGCCTGTACTTTATAATGCTCCATAAGTTTTCTGGGGTTGAGGTCAAATTGGGGCGGCCATGTCATAACACTCACCTGCTTCTCATCAAAGTATTCCTTCATCAATTTTGATTTGTGACAGGAATATTATCCTGCATAAAAAATGAGCTTGGTGGGGTATTTGCACCCTTTGAGACAAGAACTGCTTGCTCTGAGGGTCTTTTCAGTAGGTTTTTTTAAATCAGTTCCATGAAAAGAAAAGCATTTGAACATTTTGAACGGATGTTTGACAGTACCTCTAAATTCAAAAACTTTCAAAGCTTCTTCTTCGGATTTTAGATCGCTTATCCTTTGAATTTAGCTCAACTTTCGTTTCATCGGAGAAGAGAACATTTAGTAAAAAAAAATCAGGTGAGTCACTTTTATCGAACAGAACTGTATATATATATATATATATATATATATATATATATATATATATATATATATATATATGTTTGAATAAAAGACAGACCACGTTAAGATTCCATGTAATAAGCTATTTCACCATAACCCCTTTAACAGGGTTCTGAATCATCAGACTTTACTTCCAAAAGCTGAAATAAAAAATGAAAAGAAATAGCTTATTACATGGAATCTTAACGTGGTCTGTCTTTTATTCAAACATATCTGCTCTGAATTTTACAATGAGCTCTCTGGATATCATCCTCCTCGGGTCTACCCATACGGATTACCTAAATTTGCATAAACTCTCTCTCTCTCTCTATATATATATATATATATATATATATATATCCATTGCAGGATCATTGCACAATTTTTGATCAATGAGTTGTGAGGACATACTTTGGTGAAAAGTTAATATAGAGATCATGCAAATATCACAACGTCAAGGTAACATACAATGTTGAATTCAGGCTTGTCCTTCTATTTGATTAATTGCTAACCAAGGTGAGAGAACACAGTTCGCGTTGCTATTTAGCTGTGGAAAGAAAAAAAAATGGCTTCACACCTGACTCAAGGTAAATGGATGTAACGAACTCGACTGGAATTTGAACTCGACTCTCGGAGTTATTCTAAGATGCTATCCATTAAAACACCCGCATGCATACGCAGACACAAATGCACACACACACATATATATATATATATATATATATATATATATATATATATAGAGAGAGAGAGAGAGAGAGAGAGAGAGAGAGAGAGAGAAAGAAATTGGGAAAAACATACAGATATAGATCTTTCTTGACTGGATAGATAGATAGATAGATAGATAGATAGATAGATAGATAGATAGATAGATAGATAGATAGATAATGAACATAAATAGCTAGACAGCTTGATAGATAATGAACATAAATAGATAGACAGCTAGATAGATAGATAGATAGATAGATAGATAGATAGATAATGAAGATAGATAGATAGATAGATAGATAGATAGAGATAATGAACATAAATAGATAGACAGCTAGATAGATAGATAGATAGATAGATAGATAGATAATGAAGACAGCTAGATAGATAGATAGATAGATAGATAGATAGATAGCTAGATAGATAGATAGATAGATAGATAGATAGATAGATATTAATTGTCTCGGTATCGCGTTCTGTGCATGAATGTAAGTTGATTAAAATATGCTAGTACATGTGTGTATTTGAATGTGTGTATTTGCGTGTGCCTCTGTGTGTATGCATGAGTTCATTTTGTGCTTATATTTGTATATGTGCGAGTATTTCCATGTGAAACAAAAGTGAAATATCATTGTTAAAAAAATATCCGTTGCGAAATTTCCCCGAAGGAAATTCGCATGAGAGCATCTATTTCAAAATAACGACTAATTGAGATTTTTGTAATCATTTTTTTTTTCTTTGTTAATTCCGAAAATTAATCTAATCCCGGGGCCATAAGTATATATATATATATATATATATATATATATATATATATATATATATATATATATATATATATATGTATATATGTTTGTATGTATGTATGTAAAATTGGCGAGACATTTGTACCATAATTGATTCCATTAATTTTTATAATTACATAATGAAGAATCGTCCAAAATCTAAAATACGTGGTTTCTGTAGATTGTCAAAAATGTGGTCGTCCCTTGTGCAGAATTAATCATAAAAGAATTGTTTAGTCTTTTCTTATCGCAATTCAGTTTCCCGCCTTCCAACTCCATCTGCAGACGACATGTAACATTTCTTCATTCATATTTTGACATAATGACGCAAAATCGAAATAATTTTTTATCCTTATTCAAGATAGACTTCTTAATATGAAAAACCAACGCGTTTAACATTACGCAAAATATCAATTTCTTATAAAATAATCAATTATGGCGTGTAAAATAATTAAACAATGATTTTGGAGTCTTACAACACTTACATATTATATTGATTATTTCGGCCCATTTTTGCCGTCAGTGGTCGAAAATTACGACGGTTATATCGTCTAACCTTCTTCAGTCGTAGTTTATATAGTGATACCTCGAGTTAAGTCGTTTTGAATTGTCATTTTCGAAGATACGTCGGTTTTTCTTAAATATTATATGAAAAATAAAACTTACCTTAGGTCGTTTTACTCGAGTTTACGTCGGTTGTTAAAAACATTAGAAACTTCAAAACACTAA